GCTGAAATACTAAACAACCTGCTTCCATGGCCGAGATACAGGGCGCCCATATTATAAGGTAAGGTTATAAAACCACCATTTAAGATCATTTTAGTGAAAGTTTCATGTTCCTATCTCATAGAATTTAAGAACAATGATGAATAAATAATTTTCGAGCAAAATTTAAATGGCCGGCTGAATATATTACCGCAGGAGCCGCGGCCGCGGAATTTAAATGACCACGTCAAAGGGTTAATGCCATCCAGTGTGATTGATAAATGTTGTGTGGTTTTTTAATCTTTCCTCCTTTACATGTTTTGGTCATAGCAACCATCTTCGGAAAGACATCAGTACGTACGGAAACTGCTATTACAGTGTCATTGGTCATTATCAGTACTTATAGAAATTACTATTACAATGTCATAGATATAAAACATTATTCTGTAACAATTACTACGATGTGCACAACTTTGTTAAAACATCTATAAATTATTATAATTAGCCTATTTAGAAAGTATTGTTTAAAAATCTGTTTGTTAAAAACTAGAACCAATTCGGTTTGTGTCCATTTTACTTCTTTAAAGGAAGATGAGTGTATGCCATGTAGTGTTTCTCTTGTTTGAAGAATAGGACTCTGCAAATATATCATGGGTACTATATAATATTTCCATAATCCTGATTTTATTTGAATGTGAGTTTTTTTAATCCTGCCTTTAGTGTCGTCCAGGTGTGCGGGCCATACTGTGTTGTTATGCTGTTCTAACATATTTCGAGTCATGTATTTATATACCCCTTGTGCCTCATGATATTTGTGTGGGAGTGTACTAATATTTTATTATGAAGTCAAATATACTATTCCGATTATCATTCTCCTCTGTAAGTTTTTGCTCTTCTATCAGTTTATTAAGTTTATTAAGTGATAAATGTGGAAGGTTCCCTTTTTTTTTGGCATGCTCAACATTTCCATAATCATCGTCATAGATCCATATTGGTGGCGTTTATTTAGTATATGTGGGGCAAATGCCGATTTGGCTTTGTTAAATCTTATGTTTCTTATTGGCATTGTCCTTTGTATAGATAGAGGCCTTACAATGGGCTGATCCCCTGTCCAAGGAGTTCTACTGACTATGCATAGGAACAAGAAACTGAAAAACCTTCCAGGGCCCAACAACACCCTGTAGAACCATTAATGAATGAATGAATGAATGAATGAATTAATGAATAAAACAAATGAACACCCTCAATGCTGTATGAGTGCAGATGTGGTATATGATAGTCACATGTTCGAGTGAGTTCAGGTTCCAGCTTACCGATAGATAATGCACTGTGTGCAGGTGGCTGCTACTGAACAGCACAGACCCAGCAAAAGAGCTACAGTGGTTCATCTATGAACTTCAGAGTGCAGAGTTCAGTGGTGAAAAGGTTCACGTGATAGGACACATTCCTCCAGGACACAGCGATTGTCTGAAAGTATGGAGCAGAAACTATTACCATATTATTAACAGGTGAGCATTGTTCTTCAGCTCTGTAGGGACAAACAGAGTCCCACTTGCATACTCTGGCTGTTCCTGGTATTGCTTACCGTAAAGAGCAAAAATTCTCTTCTTAATTCACTTCTGTTGGTCACGTTACTGTCATGAAGTTCACTGTTGTCAAGAGAATATTCCACTATATCTGGTACTAACAATCCATTACCAATTACCATTTCTTACAACCTTTCTTCCGCCACCGAAGAGCCTCGTCTATTTTATAGGTAACAAAATATCTGTACATTTCTTATAGGGGCTTTTGAAACCAGGGAGCTGTGGAGAATATTGGGACCTAAGGGAGAGGAGGCCGGTCACGGTAGCTGAGCGGTCTAAGGCATGTACTGTCTTCGCTCACTTGGAAACTGGGATCATGGGTTCGAATCCCACTCAGGACATGGATGTTTAGCTTGTGTGTGTGCGTTTTTGTGTGTTTGTGTACAGGTAGAGGCCTTGCAACAAGCTGATCACCCGCCCAAAGAGTCCTACCAAATGTGTAAGATCTAGGAAACCGAAGTGAACAGAGAAGTTCATGGAGGTAGACCTAGGCCCACTGGGGCTGTAGTGCCGGGGGCTGGGTGGAGGTAGCATGAAGATGGAGAAAGTTGCATAATGACAAGCTGCATAAATTATACTCTTCATGAAATATTAGGAAGATAAAGTAAAGGAGGAAATGATAGGCCAGTCATGTAACATGCATAGATGATATTAAAAATGCATACATTTTAATTGGGAAACCTGAAGGGGAAGGACCACTTGGGAGTCCTAGGCCTAGAGGAGACAATAATATAATATATATAATACTACGTGTGACACTTAGTAAAGATAAGCAGCGGCAGGCACACAGGGAGCCTACACAGAATAACAGTGCTGAAAACAAGAAGTAGCCGCTGCAGCACTACAGACATAGGGCAAGTAACCCTGAGAATTTTAATTTTTAAAAGAATTTTTAAATTAGAACTGAAGATTTTTAAAAGTGCCAGTTCATAATAATCAAAATAGACGAGTGTAGGTAACAAAGATAATGCACAAGGCAGACAGATATCAGCGAAGTAGATTCTAATAAATCGAAACCTGTTAGTAACAACAAAAAGAACAATTGGGAAGACTCACGGTTTTAAATTTTAAACTAGGTGCAGTGTAACAGCTATGTAAGTGTATACACCTGATGATGGCCGTTTGCGGCCGAAACATGTAGTGTAGAAGAAGGCAAGACAAAAGAACTACAATAAATTGTTGCACTTGACAGATAACAGCATTTCAGAGGAAGTTGCTGTCTTCGTCCTAATGATGGTCTCTGCAGATCAAAACATGCAGTGGGCTGTAAAATAAAAATAACTGGATTTTAAATATTTTAACATTGGTTTGTAATCATTTGTTATGTTGACTGCTTTCAGTTATACCTTTGACTCGTGCTAGATAACCATAAAACCATAATCTTAAAGCACTGATAGGTCTGTCCATGTAGAAGAGCACTCACTCTACCCTGAAGATGGAACCAGAAGGTTTCCTTAAGTGCATATGTGAATTTAGCCTATAAGGATGTCTACTTTCTTCTTTCAGATATGAATCAACAATCGCAGCTCAGTTCTTTGGTCATACGCATTTTGATGAATTTGAGCTATTTTACGACCGTAACGACTTAAGCAGGGTTACCAACATAGCATATGTTGGCCCATCAGTGACCCCTTATTATGATCTCAACCCTGGCTACAGAATATACTACATTGATGGGGATCACAAAGCAACAACAAGGGTGAGTTTCATCAGAAAGCAGGGAATGCCATGTTGATCTGATGGATGTGTTATTCTCAGCGAACTGTGCTGCTGTTTGTATTTCCTGTTATTAGATTTGTGGTGGCAGCATTGAATATGAATTAACAGCTTTGTTGAAAGGTAAAATTCTTCCTTTATCTAAGGACTGCATGTTGGATGCATGTAAAGGGCAGTACGGGTGAAGTTTATCACATTCTTAACCTTAGCAGTGGATGGAGATCAGTGGTTAACTACATCCTCCAGCCACTTACCCCGAATGGTATACCCCTTTGTACTTACTGACTATATTGTTTTGTGGACCCCAGTGCATGAGTATATTGTCAGGGAAAAAGGATGAAGCTATAGTGTCTGAAATTAACGTCTTACAGTGAGTTTCTATGTGATAGTGGACAGTGACAGAAAAATCAACTGTTTCTCCTGCCAAACTGACCTGACAGCTGAAACTTGCTTCACAGCTGCACTGTCTATAAAACATGGTGTGTAAAGCCATGCTTAATTTTGATTGGTCCATTTGAATATTTTGCTGTGTGTAAGCATTAATTTGATATTTTGCTTTATGAAAGAGTAAACATAGTTTTGATGCGCCATCCAAACACACATAATGCCAGTTTCATTTAACATTTATAAAAATGAATATCAGCAGAGTGAAAATAGTCTGGTGTGGTTAAAATAATCCATGAACAGTCAACTAGTTTCCTACAGTGTCTTTCATTCTGCTTATAAGAAACCTAAGTACATATTAACTGTATTTCATCGCACAATTAATACACGTTTTCTCAAGATTTTCTGATGTGAAACTTGGGTCTTTGATTTATATGAAATGGGTTGACATGGATAATATCAATCTACTTCCTACTTTACTTGACTCCAAAAGCGAAACACTTTCTGAGAACAACTGAGTAAGATCTGTGTATGAGTAACTGTTAAACTATAGCTTGTGCTTTGTTTAATCTCATGTATTTTTGTCGCCCATTGAGCTTAAATTAAACATTACAAAAATAATAATTTTTCGACAAAATGAAACCATGTTTGATTTGAAGTTCCCACACCACTGACTATAAAAAGTACAATGTTATGGGTTGTAATGCTATATAATTCTGTAGAAACTCACTGACATTCCAGACAAACATATTACCTCCATCTTAAGGGTTGAAAAATAAACCAAGCAAGAAACAAGCCCTGCTTACCACCCACTTCTTAGCAGATTTTTTGCCTGACTCACACTTTGACCCTGAAAAAGGAGGCACTGTGTTCCTCTGAAATGTTGGCAGACTTCTACTAAACTACTTAGCATCACATCCCACAATACATATTCTTCAGAATAAAACCAGATCCACGGATGAGTCCTTAATTTCAAACCATGCTCTTCGTGTAGGGCTCACCATATATCTTAGCTGCGCCATATGGATGCAGTGCATCATGATCTTATGGGTTGTAAAGTATAGAGTTCAGAGAGAATTCAACATTTCAGAGAACCTTCAGTTTCGAAAGGTAAGCCAAGCACGAAATCAAGCTCAGCTTGCCACCTGCTTGGCCTTATGTTTTGACCCTATGTTCCTTCAGAATGTCAGGCGGTCTCCAAACTGCATGGTACTACAACTCAGAAAACCATACTCTTCATTCAGTGATATCTTATGTTTTACTCCTGCAGTGTAAGCCAGAATGGCTGAGTCAGTATAGTGACTGGCTATGGGCTGGATGCCCGAGGGGTCAGAGTTTCAGTCTCAGTAGGGTCAAGAATTTTCTCTAATCCTTATCATTCAGACTGGCTCTTGGACCCACCCAGCCTCCTATCCAATGGGTACTGAGGGCTATGTCCCTGGGAATAAATCGGTCAAGAGTGTGAAGCTGACCACTCACCTCCAACTAGTGCCAAGGTCAAGAAAATGTGGATCTATACATCCACTACCTTGTATGCATTCGTGACATAGTACTTAACTAGTTAAGCACAGGGAGAAGTTTACCTTACTTCCGCAGTAGAAGATGTGCTTATGTCAGATGTGAGACGAAAAGTGAAGGACATTGTGATGATCCCTGTTTTCTCATTATTTATGATGGTAATTCATTTCATTCTTGTGTTTGAGTGGTCCTTCTTGCCAAAGTATTCTCTGTACTTACCATATTTTCTGGAGTATAAAATGCACCCAGATTTAAGAGGATAAACTATAGAATAAAAAAACTTGCTCTACCTTCAGGATGTAAACTGCTCACAGTTTTTAAATAGCACATTGTGTGGAAAAGGGCTTGTCTGATACTCCAACAGGTATGGTTTTTCAGGGAGTATGAACATCTCGGGTGCCTCCAATACTGAAACACAAAAGATTGAGAATAGATACTATATATATATATACACACACACATACTCTTGCAGTCCTGAGAATTTGTGTCTTGTGTTTCTTGCTTTTAGGCAGTGGTTGACCATGAAACGTGGGTGATGAATCTGAAAGAAGCAAACCTGTACAATTACCCCATCTGGTACCAGCTGTATAGCACCCGATCAGCCTATCAGATGCCTTCCCTTTTACCACAAGACTGGGACAACCTTCTCAACAAATTAGCTAGTGATACAAAGCTTTTTGATCTTTATTACAAGTAAGTGTGAATATTTGCAACTGCAAGATTCTCTTTTCTTTCTGTATTAACCACTGATAAGCCTCACATGTGCTGACCACAGGAGCCACTCTGTCTAAGGCATAAAACGTCTTCGGCCACTCAGACACTGCGGTCGTGAGTTCAAAACCCACTCGGGACATGAATGTCTATGTTTGTGTTGTTCTGTGTGTAGGTAGCAGCCTTGCGACAGGCTGATCCTCCTGTCCAAGGAGTCCTACAAACTGTATGTAGATTAAGAAACAGGAAATAAAATCTGACGTGTTTATTCCATGAAGAATTAGATGACTTCTGTGTTCTCTGCAGTTAGATGCCACAATAGGAACTTCTAGAGGATATTATGGGTTTTGAATTGGATAATTGGATTTATTGCACCTTATAAATTCAACATAGAACTACAGTCAATACAGCGCTACCGCTGATCTACACACTTTACAGTTCATTATTACACACACATGCACGCACGCACACACACACACACACACACACACACACACTAGGATTATCAGTCCTCACTAGTCATATCCTGGCAATGAATTTATAACAATCTCACTGTCACTTCAAATCACACATGAAGTCTTCTTCTCACGGCCTAGTTCCCTTCTTGCCGTTATTCTGTAACTGCCAACTCAAATAAATTCCAAGCTCATCTCCTGGCAGGCTGGCATCTCAACACTCAACTCTTCATTCCACATCTTGACTGCTCACTCGAATGCTGAGCACTTCTATATAACCATTTTGCATTGACTCCACAGAAAACACCATCTTCTATTGTCCCATATTATTTTAAGCATGTTTACTGCACCATTGCATAGTAACAGTCATGGCCTGGACCACACAGAAAACAGCTTCTCTATTGTTGAGGCGTGTATACCAAGTCATTACCTAGCAATGGGTATTCACATCACAATATTTATATTGATTCAGTAAGTTCTGCTGTAATTGGTTTTAGTGATAGTGGGTAATTGAACTTGTGAATTATGCTGTTTCATGTAAGTATTACATTTGCACAAATACAGCACATTTTGCTATGAAAATAAGGAGCCACACAGTTAGTGCCTAACCTCTACCTGCTTAGTAACTAGAAAATATGGTTCATGTTTTAAATCCAACTCACTGTCAAAGGAAGGCATAACTACATACTAAAGAGCCAAAACTAACCTTGTACAAGGGTGGTTCAAGGTTGACCTGGATTTAATTTTTTTTACAAAACTTGTACATACCAAAAAGCCATACTGTCACTCTTTTTCAGGATATTGTCTCCCTGCACTTACTCGGTTTTGTTATTGCCATGGCAAGGCACTGATGCTGGCAACACAAAGATGTAGCCAGTTCAGGATACAACTTTTCAGTGCATCATTCATGTTGAATTTCCAATCTGTTAGGTGCTCCCTCAGTAGTCAAGCAAGTGAAAATGACTGGAGGCTAGGTCTGGGCTGTAAGGAAGGTGATTCGTAATTTTCCAAACCAAGGATATGATTGTCGTTCTCATCATAAGGTTTGCCATATGGATGTGTGTTATCATGCAGTACAGTGATCTTCTGTGACAGTTTCCTAGGCCTTCTCTTGCAAATCACCAAGTGAACAGTATTGCAAAGTGTACTATTGTGATACCGCACATTAATCACTGTATCATGGGGCAGGAAGTCATCTTGAATCGCCCCTTCTGAACCCTAAAATATACTTGCCATTATCTTGCCTAGCGAAAGCTGTGTCATGAATATTTTTTGTGTTGCGGATCCTTTGTGGTGCTGTTCCAGTCTTGACTGCTTTAATTGCAATAACATAAATATGTAACTGATCGCATATCTCTGTCTTTATATCCATAAGTCCATCTATCCATCAAGATACCTTTAAAATAGTCTGTCTTTATGTCAGTCTTTATATCCATCTGTCCATCCTTATGTTCATCCATCTATATGTGCATCTAATCTTATCTCTCTACAATACAAAATTCAAGCAATTATTACATTCTCTAAGGCAGTGCTTTAAATGTCTTGTTTGCATTGCATTTTTTTACACGAGTTTTCTTTCGATTTCATATTTCATTCCATTTGAGATGGATTGCAAAATTGAGCAATGCGTCTGCATCAAGTTTTGCATGAAACTTGGTAAATCTGCTACTGAAACCCTTGAAATGCTTTCTGGGGCTTTTCGAAAACATTCTTTAAGCCAGACAGCAGTTTTTGAATGGCATTCATGTTTCAAGGCCTGTCAAGGGTCAGTTGAAGATGACGAATGTTCAGGGCGACCCAACACCAACCAAATGACAAAAAATGTTGAAAAAATTCGAGAACTCATCCACAAAGACTGTCACTGAACAATCTGTGAGCTTGCAGACACCCTTGGGATCAGTTATGGAGTTTGCCAGGAGATCTTAACAGAAAATTTGAACATGCACCACATTGCCACAAAATTTATTCACCGACTCTTGACAAATGATCAAAAGCAGTGGTGCGTAAACGCGTGTCTTGAGCTATGAGAGAAGGCTAACAAGGACCCAACTTTTACTAGTATCTCTAAGATCATAACAGGTAACGAAAGTTGGATTTATGGTTATGATCCAGAAACAAAGCAGCAGTTGTCGCAATGGAAGAGCCCACAATCACCAAGCGCAAAAAAGTCCCGGCATGACCGAAATTCAATAAAGAGCATGCTTATTGTATTTTTCGACGTGAAGGGGATTGTTCATAGGGAATTTGTTCTTCCTAATACTATGGTTAACTCTGACTTTTACTTACTGTGACATTTTGAGACACTTGAGAGAAAATGTGCAATGAAAAAGCCAGAATGTTGGCACAACCACAACTGACTCCTTCATCATGACATTGCTCCTGCCCACACATCCCTGAAAACCACAGAGTTTGTGACTAACAACAACATGGTTATCATTCCCTATCCTCCCTACTCACCTGACTTAGGTCCCTGCGATTTTGCTTCGTTTCCAAAATTTAAAATGAAACTAAAGGGACAGTATTTTGAAGCGGTGTCCGACATGCAAAGGGAATTGCAACCGGTATTTGACAGCATCAAGGAAAATGACTTCCACAGTGCTTTTGAAACATGGGAAAAAAAGATGGGAGGTTCACTATATACGTTCCATAGGAGACTATTTTGAAGGAGGTGGCAGTAAGTGAAGCCAGCATTTCTCTTTTGCCTTAGTCCTGGTACTTTCTGATAGCACCTCATGGGTAGTTCAGCATTGAAATTTATGTTTTGGGGTCATTGAAATTTGGCACTAAATCAGGGAAAACCTTAAATTGAAGAAGTTAAATGGGCGTTCCACTCTGTAAGGTTGAGTGACAAGATCCCAGATGTTGTAACAGGATAGTAAATTCTTTGTTCTACAGGATGTTAAGCATCAGGAAACGTTGGATCTTGTGTACATTTTATACTTACATGTACTTGCAGGTTCATATATTATAGGAAGTATTCTGATTGATAGCTCTGCATTTTGGTTGTAATCATGTCCCATTCTGTTATATATCTGTTGTGTTTTGTAGGACATTGTCAGTGCTCGGTGTTTTCAGGAGTGTAGCATGACATGTCTGACTCATTCTGTGTAAATTATATACAATTTAGTGCTAGGTCTGGGCCATATCATATTACAGACACTACTGGAAGAATTCTCCTGTGAGACCACCATGTGATGCTGAATGCAAGAAACGGATGCTTTGTGACCTGAGGTCAGGTCGTTCTCATGATCGCAAAGGTCTGTGTCAGGAGTTGGAAAGCCGAATTGATGCCAACACACGGACAGGCTGGCGTGCATGGATCTACAATGGACTGGCGCTCTCGTATGTCAATTATTTCATGGGATTCTGTTGGGTAGGAACTAGTATAAGGGATGCATTTACAATGGACTAGTAGTTACATGCACTTTGTTTGGTGATGGTTACTAATGGAAAGGTGTTCGGGCTGTACAACAGGTGTGGGTTCACACACTTGGGCACTTTGGCACTGCCGCATTCAGATCACTTGAACTCATCTCTCATGTTCTTCATAGTCTATTTTCTTGTCATGTAAATATTGTAAATTTAGACATGACATTATTTTGCTGTTACTGTAGAAATAGTTACTTTTGAAATATTAAAAGAACATTATTTTTTAACTATACTTTTCAGTGTGTAAGAGTCATTTTCAGGCCAGCCTGTGTTTGCCATATATGTGAAGTCCCCATATCAGAGAGACATCTCATCTCATTATGTCTGTGGTCAAAACACTCTGTGAGTTGGTTAGATTGATGTGATGTTCTCATGTTCAAATTGCTGCAGGCAAAGAGATCAGCTTGATGGCAATCACTTAGTACAACATTTCTGTCAGCAGATGACTTAAAATCTTCATGTTTGGAGACAAGAACAGGTGTTCACACTATCAAAATGTGGAGACATATTGTAGGTAGTTCTGTGGTGTGGCTTGACAGTCAAGGGTTACTGGTTACCATTTTAATTCTGTGATGATACAGAAATTAGAACTCTCTAGGCTAGGAAAATGAAGCAATTAGCATTGCAGGTACTAATGTATGAACGTGATATCTCTAGGTACCATTTTCTGCAACTTAATATTTTTTTCTTTGTACAGCAAACACAATAGGAATGTATTTATCATGGCAGAACACACTGACTCAGATTTTAAGTCCCTCACATCCCTGTAATATTTTTAAGTTACTGTTGCCTATGTGGAAAATATAGGAAATAATTGATGTTATATATTAACATGTGCAACTTGAGTCTTTCACAGTAGTGTAGACCATTTTGCCATCTCCTTTAGAGTTGAAGTAATTTTGACCCTGAAAATGAGTGTAGGAAGTTGCTGTGAAAGATCTGTAATTTTTAACATTTTGGGTATGTACATTAATCACAGCACTCTACAAAGAGTACATGAACATAATTTTTATGGGCAATTTGATCTTACACACTAGAACATACAGTATACTGACTTTCTGATACTGAAATTGCATGTGTTGGTAGTAATTATTATTGTGTATGTATGTGAATTGGGGATTTGTTGAAATTACAAGACAATCAGAATGAAGCTTTAATGATCCTTATTGTATGTCTTCAGACATTTCAGTTATATTGATATTCAGCCTTAATTCTCAATTCCATACATGTAAGTACATTAAAAAGCTTGTGATTTATAGTTTGTGCTCCAGGGTCATCCAACTTCAACCCATTAAGGGGCTCATTGTGCCTGAGATAACCTCAGGCCATATTATAGAAAAACGTGTATTTTCCCCCCCTCCCAGTATACCAACACAAATATCTGCTTTGCAGTGACCATATCAATAACACACAAGCATACAAATAAGAATTGGACCCATAAGGTTGAAGAACATTTATTTATATTAGATCTTTCCAGGTTAACAAGCTTAAAAGTCAGCCATGAACGGTTTGTTGCATGTAGATTTTATTGATATTGCCTACAATAAATGAGTCAGTTCCATGCTTTTCTGAGTCAGATTTCGTGTGAAATCAACTGAAAAATTGGGCAAAACATTTAGTAAGCACTTTTCATAACGTCTCCCCCCCCCCCACCACTGGAAGGATTCACTGCCCTTTCCAAGGAGGAGGAAACATTAATACATGTTTTGTAGAACAGAAGTATACCTTTGCAGGCTGCATCAAACCAGCTGGCTGGCCACATGCAACCTGTATGCCATCAGTTGGACAGCCCTGATGTAGACATAGCCGTGAGAGTAATTATTATTTGCTTGTAATATGTATTAACTTCATCCTGTAGAAACAGAAGCTACTCTGGGAAATTTAGTTTGAAGGAAATTAGAAAATACTGTAATGCATTAATTTATCATTGTGTCAGTGAATAGGGGAGGCAAGTATAAATGCTATGTGTAATGGAATTTGGACAGGATCGATTTGATGGACAGCATGCAAGGCAAACTAAAGTCTATCAAAGGAGTGGCAAGACTTTGACTGTATATTATTTAAAATATTGTTCTTGGATTAGATGTGTAGACCAAATTTGTTTTGGATTGGCTGTGTAAACCATAATAGTGTTCATGAAATGGTTTTTAGACCAGGACAACACATGAAATATGTTTCATTCTTTGTATGCTGATGTCTTGAAGGCTGTGTAAGGATTTAATTCTGTGAAGTACTCCAGAGAGAGTTACCTTAATGTATGGTGCTATTCTTGTCTGCCTTTTTAACAGTTATCATACACATGAATTAAATTATATTGATTCTAGTATTCAACAGATTGTGTGTTATGCTTGTATGAGGAACTGTATCATTGAGACTATGCAGTTTCAGATGTAATTACGTTTTTTTAACTTAGTGTCTTTTGTCAGTATGAATATTTTCTTGTAGTCACTTACAGTATGTGTACTTTTGGTGGTAAATGAATGCCTTACATAAATTGTAGATTGATTGTTAGAGAAGATGGTTTATGTAAAAGGCAGGAAGTTTCTTTACAAACTCAGCAACTATCAGTCCATAGAGAGTGACTCTGCAGACAGAAGTTTTCTTCTGTGATGCTACTTAATCCTTTGCATGACATTATCCAATTAGATTATCTAAGCATACTTGCATTAGAATTGCCAGAGTCGGAAAAATCAACTCAACGTTACTCACTTAGTAGAGCATTTCTGTCAGTAGGTTGCATCAAATGTTATATACTGATGTTTGGAAGAAAGAGCAGGCTCATACACTATCCACATCTGTGGTTGATGGCAGTGCAATAGCTTCAGCCAGTTAATCGCTGGCTTCTCTCCTTAGCGGCTTGGGTCCGATCCCAGGTCAGGTCATGTGGGCTTTTTGGTGGACAGTGTGGCACTGAGGCAGGTTTTCTCCCAGTATTTTGGTTCCCCTGCCAATTCTCATTTTGACTGCTCCACACTCATCGTCTGTCATCCAGGGGTGGTACAATAGTCCAAATAGTGGCTGATGTACCAAGTGAATGCAGTCTCACCCCACCCAAAGAAACTAAAACTTCATGGGTTTCTGTAAGGTTTTAGTCCCAAGTTTTCAGTTTTTATTCCATGGATGGTACTAGTGGTATGCACAAAATGGGTTCAAAAATTCTTCATTTAATGCTGTGTATCCTATGCATTGGTTTGTTGGCTAGGTTTATTGCATAAAATTTTCATCTCCCTTTCTATCTTAGTTTCAGGTTTCTGCATGCTTTAATCACAATTTTTATTGCATACACAGTGTGTCCAGGTTCTGTTAGGACTGTCTTCATAAAAAATAAAAGACATGAATTATTTTCAAAATTTCACTCTTTTGAATCAAAATAGTCTCCTTCTGAATCAATACATAGCTGGAATCGATTGAAAAGTTTTCGAAAACAGTCACTGTACTCCTTTTGTGGAATCACATTTAAAACTGCTGTACATTCCCTTTGGATGTCCTGGATGGTGTTGTGACGGTCTCCTTTCATAGACAATTTAACCTTTGGGAACAACCAGAAATCTGCTGGAGCCAAATCTGCTGAATACAGAGGATGATGAAGGACTGTGATCCCTTTTCTGGCCAAAAAATCGTGTATGATCTTTGATTTGTGGGGTGGCTATTGTCATGGAGGAGCGACCAGGAACCTTGCTCGATATTCAGGTTGAATTCAAAGAATTCTCGCCCACAAACGATTGAGGACGCTGAGCTAATAATCAGAATTCACTGTTTGATCTTCTGGCAGAAATTCCTTGTGAATGATTCTTTGGAATCGAAGAAAACGGTTAACAGTGTCTTTATTCGTCTCTTTTGCATGCTCTTCTTTGGGCTCAGCCATGCTGCACTCTGCTGCTTTGTGAGAGGCTCATATTAAAAACCCCATGTCTCATCACCAGTAACAATATGTTTTGTAAATTTTGTATCACTTTGGGCCGACCGTAACATGCCTTTGCAGTGTTCAACTCTGGCATGTCTTTCATCGCCTGGCAGCGCGTGCAGTACAAACCGCACACAGACCTTCCATTTGCCCAAATCCTTGGTCAAAATGTGATGCAAAGTACTTTTTGGTATTCCCAAAAGCTCCTCGATGGGTCTTGCAGAAACACATCTGTCTGATGCAAGGATTTCGGTCACTTTTTTCACATTTTCTTGAGTGTGACTTTTTCTCGGCTTTGATGCATGTGGAGCGTCTTCAATGTCCTCCCTACCATCACAGAATACAGCATACCATTGAAAAATGTTCAAGCGACTCAAACAATCACTACCGTACACACTTTTCATAATTTTGTATGCTTCTCTGACTGTTTTGCCTAACTTCAAACAAAATTTAATGTTGGCTCTCTGTTTAACCGCCATTTTCCGACGAGTGTCGGAACAGTACTATTACATTCAAGGTCAGAACACATGATGCAGCAATGTTTGCACTTTGAAATTATAGACAGCCTCAGCTGAAACTTCAAGAATGTTAATGCCACAACTCACCAATAGATGGCATTGCAGGGCAAAATAAAAAAAAAATGAGTCCTAACAGATCCTGGACACACTGTGTATTGTCACATGTAAGGTGGTATGTGCGATGAAAATGACGGGTTCTAGTTTTGATGGTTGGATTTATTAGCACTTTTGTTACAAGTTCTCTTAATCACATTTAAACACAGTGCTATTGCTGATTTGCACACTTTCCAGTTTGCCGTTGCACATGCACTAGGATTCCCAGTCTTCACTAGTCATCTCCTCTCAGTGGATCTCAACAGAGAAACTATAACAGTCGCACTGGATAACACACTCCAAACATTGCACATAAACAAAATCATATGTTAAATCCTCACAGGCCGACCTCCTGTACTCTTCTATACGCCTGGTTCCAATTCACTTTCTTTACATGCTTTTGCCACACACTTTCTTCTACAACGAACTCAGAACTCAGGACTCTGTCACTCACTTCCTTGGTTATTCTTGGGAATCAGTGCGGATCCCATAGAAAACCAGTCCCATGATAGCTATCTTACCGGTCCATTGGTGTGCTGACTGTTGTCTGGCAGCAAGCTATAAATATTCATCCTATTGTTACATGCACATATCACCAAGGTGTCTATCGAACTGTTACCTGGCAATATGCTGACATTTCACAGTATTTTCTTGTTACCTTCCTTCGACAAAGCCTGGCCACAGATCTTTATATAGCTGTACTTATACTGATGTGGGTTGTGAAAGTATAGACCTGCCCTTACAGGGATCATGGAATGCACCAAGAGACTACTGGCAATGTGTGTTCCCCAGTGGTCACCAATCTGAGTGCTTACCAGGTATAGTGTTGCTTAAGCAACAGCATGGAAGGTCAAGCAGCATTATCCCTGGTGAGTACTTGGATGGGTGGTGATGGCATGAGAACACAAGATACCAATGCTCATTTGGTGCACTCTCTGTCCCTTACAAGGGCAATTTCTTTAATTTCGCAGCCTACCCTCTCCATTGTTCATATTGTTCTGGACAGGACACCAGCCCCCACCTTCTTTCCTGTGGTTGTCTCAAGACAAATGTCAGTATATACGCAGAAACTGACCCACTGTACACACTACAACCCTGAAGACAGAGACAGCATGTACCTCTGAAATGTAGACAGCATTGCCCACATCCAGATGGTGTAAACACCCAAGAACTGGATTAACATAAAGGAATTAAGAAATTAGGATTGTATGTAACATAGTAGTGAGTTAGTGTAGCACGAAGAGTATGCTAGAGACTTTGGATAGAATGGCAGGTTATCACCCTAAGACAATACAAAGCAAGTGGCAGATATAACAACAGGAAGAAATAGAAGGAGACATGAGTGATTTTATACTGGGATCAGAACTCACTCAGGTCATACTTTGTTGATGAATTCAGAATCCACAATCAGATGAGTATTGTCATGTCTTTACACTTTAATGTCAGAAGTTATTAGTATGTGGGTCAGCAAATTTGTGAAATAAATTTTAATATAATTTCTGGAATTAAAATAGACCCTAAAAGTAAGCTGTGAGCCTACCATCTGTCTGGGCTCAGTGCAGAGTACTCGTACAAAGCGATCATAAGATCAAGGTGTATGTAGTGTGCCTAGTAGTTCTGGCATCTGCAACTTGTGGTTCTCTAATTGCATGGCTGATTACAGAAGTCGGCTATATAAATGCAGAACTCCACAGGGACACTTGACTGTAAACAGCTTCACATGTTAACCAGATGCTTCGAGTGGAGATCACTGAATACCACTGTCCTTTATAAAATGTTAAATTTCTAAGTTATGTGCCCATGTACCTCAACCTATTCATTATAAATGGACAATTTGAGGAAAATAAGGACTCATGTGTGTGTGTGTGTGTGTGTGTGTATATATTGTACAGTGTGAACTATGTATATATAATGTACAGCACGAACTGTTAGCACGTCTGCTGCAAGTGGCATACTGAAAGAAACTGCTGAGCATGTAAAATTTTGTTTAAAAAAAATTACGGTCTTCTGGGACATGATGCCATGCAGTTTGGTGAATAGATACCAACTTCTGAAAGGAATGTACTGCTTCCATCCCCAAAGTTTAAAGAACAAAGTTAGGCAACTGACAAGTTTTACAGAAGTAGGGAGGAAAGGAAATGTGTCACAGAGCATTCTGGGGTTTAGCAAATTGCATGATGTCACATCCCAGAAGAAACTATTCTTAATGCTGAATGTCATGAGAACCTCAAATCTTACACATTTAAGGATTCATTTTGGAATATGCATATCAAAACTAAATTGAAAAATAACGTTTTTGCTTGAGAACATCTGCTCTACCCATTACTACAACATCTGAAATTCAGTATGTCTGCATATTACATTGTCTCAGCTTATCAGTTGGTTGTGGTACTGTTTTTAACATTGTTTCGCATTGCATGTTTTGCTTTGAAGCTTCTAGATTGCAGATACTGTAGCAGCAGCAGTTGGTCACATCCTTCCCAATTCCTTCACATTACTGGAGATTGCATGAAGAGCCACATGAAGAAGACTGAACACATTTCACTTGGTGTGCTGCAGTATCCACGGTACTTTTCTAGAACCACTCTAACATCTTCAGAACTTATAGAGAACAGTCTTTGTTAAATAAATTTAAATAAGGAGTTGTCATTTTAAGAGACCCATACCTAATGATTTGAAGTCAAATGGGCATACAGGTAAGGCTTAACATATTCCTGGTACTGGAATGGTAGACATATATTTCATCTGTTTCTCTGAGTTTGTGTGATGTAGGAAGATGATATCCCTAGAGCCAACCTGTATGAACAAAAGTAAAAAGTTGTCCCTCTGCCTAATTAGTTAAGCACTAGGCATATGGGGGAGTGGATGTGTAGATCCACATTTTCTTGACCTTGGCACAAGTTGGGGGTGAGTGATCAGCATAAGGCCTGGCTGATTTACTCCTGGGAAAAGAGCCATCGGTACCCATTGGACAGGAGGCTTGTATTTGTCTCATTATATGTACATGAAGATTAAGTTGGCTTGAAAGTTTAAGAGCTTTTGTAGTAGATAAATTTCACCCAGACTGAGAATTGAAATGTGAAGCTTTATGCATGGTGTAACACTCTCAGTAACAACACTGTACCCCAGGCATTCATCCAGAAAGCCACCGTAAGCTTTGTATAGAATTATGCATTAAACTGCAAAGTGAAGTAGTTTGTTCCAAGTCCACGAATGCACATTTGTCTTCCAATCACATATGGAAGCATACTCGTACATTGCATTACTGGTTGTGCTGGGCATGTCTGGCAATTTTTATCTACACGCTTTCTTCTGTTACTTTTAGCAATAAAAATATCGTTGACTGCAATTTTTTAACATTTCTTTTCTGACTTGAATCTGTGGGTGATCCAGCTCAGGATATAATGCTTCAGATATTTTTGTAAGTTAAATACCATGGAATCCTGTAAATTCAGTGTCTTTTTTTTAATATCCTCATGAAACAGTCTCACTCTTTTCAAATTATTTGCCTCAGTTAACACTGGTAATAAGTTAAATCTTTAATGAGAATTATGCTCTTTTATGAAAGTCGTAAAAAAAAGGTAAAGCTGTCCCTGTAAGAGCAAAGCAAATAGTCTTGTAAACCTTTAAAATCAAATATAAGTTACCATCCAAGTATATCTTGTTTATTGCCTGAGTATATTGTGTGTTACAGAGACCCCAACATGTTTTGGTCTAATAAGACCAAATCAGCGGATACACAAACAAAACAAACTCGGTGATTTTAGTCTGCAAGCGACCGCCACTTATCAGCGAAGTTTAGTGCCAACTTTTGCGGATAGAGGGTGTCGCGTGGTCAGCGCAACGAATCACCACGGCCATTAATTTCGGTTTTCTAGACTGGACACGCTGTTTCCTTGAAATAGCCCCTCAGTTATCATCACAAGGCTGAGTTAACCCCGTTCCAGACCCACTACTTCTAAGAAAAAATCTGGTAGTGCCGGGAATTGAACCCGGACCTCTGGATCTGTAGTCAAGAGCACTGACCACTAGACCACAGAGATGTTCCAAATCAGGGGATATACCTTATTAAATGAAAACTTTACAATTCTTGTGTGTAAAACCTTAAAAATTTAAAATGTATGGGGTGTTAGTTCCCTTGGCATTAGACTTATGCTGCAGAATGGTTATGTAGGTTATATTAAGTGATGTGGAGTTCACCACGTTCTATTATGCTGTTTGTGGCTGCCTTATATTTGCATTCTGTTAGTGTCAATGAATGTGAAATTCTGCAGCTGTGTCGTGGTACCTAGGTGAAGTGTTGAACTGTTTAATTCTGTCTGTAGTAAATAAGATATACTTGGATCCTATCTTTCATTTGATTTTGTAGACAACATAGTGGGAATTTAATCCGATCGAAACCTTGTAAACCTCTTACAGATTTTTCCCCCCACATTACAAATTCCAGATGGACTCCAGGAACAGCCTTTTAATGAGTTAGTTACCCAAGATGCTTTTCTGAGAATCAAAATCAACCAATAGGGTCCCACAAAACTGTACTCTCTAAACAGTGTCAAATTATGAACTGCCAGAATTAGGATCATAATAACATGGAGAAACAGATACTGCTTATTGTGAGAACATGATGAAATCTTGTTTAGTGTTGCATGGCACTCAGATTGTCTGGTAAAAATGTAAAAATTCTAAAACTTACTGTGTTTCTGAGACAGGCTGTGTCTCTGCCCTCAAGTAAGACTGCAGAAGAGATGAGCCTGCTCTTGTGGCCCTATTAAATGAAGCTGATCTTCATCAGCAGTTTCATGTGTAGATGTCAGTGTGCAAAGCGCAGTTTAACCATATAATGCAGTAAGAATTTAGCTTTTACATTTCATGGAATGTAATAATGTAAATGGTAAAAACACTAAAACCTCCACTCTGTTTTTTGCTGAAGATTATTTATAATCAGAATTCAGAATCCTTGATTGTCAGACTGCTGGACCAGAACTTACTCAAGCGTTACTTGGAAACATGTCAGATCTTGAATACATAATTAAAAAAAAATACTTTGTTTTTGATGCACTCATGGTTGTGACTGTGAAGAGTACAGTATTCTGGCTTGTAATGCCATGCAGTTTGGAGAGAGCCCAACATTTTGGAAGAACATATTGCCTCCATCTTTAGTGTCAAAGAGTCAGCCTAGCAAGAACCCAGCAGAAGCAGCCAGAAAGCTGAACTGAGCAGTATGTTCTTACATTGAAGTGTCTCTAAACTAAACAGCATTACAATCCAGAAGACTGTAATACTCTTTACAGAATTCCTTTATATGTTGCTGTTCCTAATGCAATCTGTCATTAAGGAAATACGATTACTGATTTAGGTCTTTGTGGCCATTCTGTGTTGTTAATGTTGAGCTTGGCTGATGATACCATGTGGAAGTAAACTTTGTTGCTCATATTTCCAAGGAATATGCTGCCTTGAGAATTGAAGTGATTGGCATGTGCCCGTAGAGATAAAAACATAGTTTCACTCAGAACCATAGGACGGGTTCTGTGGTTTTTAGTTGGCTGTCACTTTGCCTACATAACCTGATCATTATGTCTTATTATGTCAACCCTGAAGATGGAGGCAATATATTCCACAGAATGTCATCACCCTGGAATGTGATTAACAAAATCTGTGAATCTTGTAGCAACTCCAGGTTTTGCATGGCACAGTTTAGGGGCCAGTGGCCGATAAGAAACATGTTGATAATAACAGCTTCCATAAGTTGTATTTACCTTTGACAGAGATGAGTCATTAACAGCTGTTGTAAATACCATTTTACTTAACACTTTGCTGTTTCCTCACAGTCTCTTCTTTGCTGTTCTGCATTTTTCATTCTTCCATTATTTTTTTATTCAAGGAACAGTTAACTGTTATTATTAATAATATTAATTACTTAACAGTGCCAGCTAAAAAGAAATAAACAAGATTTCATCAAAACGTAACTTCACTTTCTGTCCTATAAGAGTCTATTGTTGCTTGATTCTAACCAATGTAATATTTTCTTGTTTCTGTTTTGCAGGAGATCTGTCTTTACAGCTATCGTTTCATTCTTTTCTGGCTGAAAGCTGGAAATGTTTCCTTGGGGACACTAATCCTCATATCTTGGTCACTTGCTGTTTCTGCAGGAAGTATGTTTAATTTTCGAGAAATGGTGTTGGTAATGTTGACATACAAATGAGATTTTAGGTTTCCACAGTGGTGAAAATTTATATTGTAATCTGGCTTGTTACACTGTATAATCTCGTAGGTGGTACCAACATTTTGGGAGCACATCTTTCTTGCTCATCAAATAGGAATTTGCATTCTGAAAATGGAGGCAGTGGGTTCCTCTGAAATAATTCTTAACCATCTGCCAGAGTCATTGTATTGTAACCCAGAAGACCACAATCCCAATCATTTTCACATACTTTTGGAAGGGAAGGTGCCAGTACTTTCTTGATTAGATGGGCTGTTTATTTTTATATCCCATATTTAATGCTGCAAGGCTTGTGATACATTTTACATGACACATATTGCCCCTCACTTCACAGCAGTATTAACCCTTTCACTTTGAAACCTGGCAGCAGATATATCCAAATTTACATGGGAGTTTCATTTCTTTAAAATTAAAAAAATATATATGTGCATGCGTGTGTGTGTGTGTGTGTGTGTGTGTGTGTGTGTGTGTGTGTGTGTGTGTGTGTGTGTGTGTGTGTGTGTGTGTGTGTGTGTGTGTGTGTGTGTGTGTGTGTGTGTGTGTGTGTGTGTGTGTGTGTGTGTGTGTGTGTGTGTGTGTGTGTGTGTGTGTGTGTGTGTGTGTGTGTGTGTGTGTGTGTGTGTGTGTGTGTGTGTGTGTGTGTGTGTGTGTGTGTGTGTGTGTGTGTGTGTGTGTGTGTGTGTGTGTGTGTGTGTGTGTGTGTGTGTGTGTGTGTGTGTGTGTGTGTGTGTGTGTGTGTGTGTGTGTGTGTGTGTGTGTGTGTGTGTGTGTGTGTGTGTGTGTGTGTGTGTGTGTGTGTGTGTGTGTGTGTGTGTGTGTGTGTGTGTGTGTGTGTGTGTGTGTGTGTGTGTGTGTGTGTGTGTGTGTGTGTGTGTGTGTGTGTGTGTGTGTGTGTGTGTGTGTGTGTGTGTGTGTGTGTGTGTGTGTGTGTGTGTGTGTGTGTGTGTGTGTGTGTGTGTGTGTGTGTGTGTAAATTATAAAATTATTTCCCTTACACTCAGTGCTAAAATTGAGTCTTATGTTGCTAAACGGATATTTTTAAATGATGATCTTGATGACTGCAATGGCATGGGGAAAGACATTTAAACAGAAAATATGCACTAAAGTATGAATGAATTTTTCTGTTCTTTAATGTAATGTAGATACTGAACTTGCTTCCTTTTCTCAATTGACTTAAATTGTAAAGGTTGAGGTTAACTGGTGGATGTGCATTTAGTAGAATTATCTTGATCAGCTGAATGATTATCAGTTTACCAAATAATGCTATAACTTATATTGCTAAGTTAGCTGTACCATAAGCAAAAACACTCATAAAGTCTCAGAAGAAACTCTGATGCAGTTAATAACAAGTGAATCAGATGAACCCAATCAGGAGAAAGAAATAATTCTGAGCTGAATGTCTCGGTTTGACCTCCAGTGGAATTGTTACAGTTTTGTTACCAATAACTGTGAATCTCATATAGAATGTTGTATGTAATTTTGTCTCTTCCTGACATGAATGTTATCCTGATATTCAGTCATGCAAATTCACATTAATGAAAATAAAATATTCACTAAAATTTAGAGTTTAATTGGACTCAGACAGGCAAAGGGTTTCAAAGCAGGACCCTCTGCCAGAAGAACGAAGGATCTGTTGAGATTAAACAGAGATCAACTAAGATGGGTGGTAGGATTATTTATTGGACACTGCCACCTGAAAGGACACCTTTTCAAGTTGGGACTGACAGATATCCTGACTTGTGAAAGGTGCCTACAAGAAAACGAAACAGCCACACACATCCTGCATGATTGTGAGGCCATAGCTTATTTAAGATTTCGCCACTTGGGTCAGTTTTTTATGGAACCAAGTGACTTTTATGATGTCCCCATAAGCAGGGCCCTACACTTTATTAAAAGTGTAGGATTAATAAAGGGCTAATCCAAGGGGAAGCACAATAGATCATTGAAGGTCACAGTGCGGGGGCTGGTTTTTATGGCCCACCCCTTACATACATTACATTACATTACATTACAAAATTTAAGAGTTCCCTACAGGTAGGGCAACTGGTGAAGCAGTTTGATTCCTGGCAGAGGCAAGAGATTTTTCTCTTTTTCATAGCATCCAGGCTACCTCTGGGGCCCAGCTAACATACATACATACATACATACATACATACATACATACTTTATTTCACTTCCATAAATCCTATCAGGAGTTACAAACTCATGTGGATGTGGAGATCGTCTTGGTTACAAATTTGGCACAAGATACAACTTGTCGTACAAATATCATAAACATTCTAATACAATCCATTACAAGTAAATTACAAGTGGAAAACAGTCCTGTCATACATTATTAGCACATACATATTAATGATAAAATTCAATAAGAGATACATAATAGTTACAATATAAATAAGTAATATAAAATAAGATATTACAATGCTTGTATACAATAAAATAAAATAAAAGTTACAAAATACCCAATATAAATAATTATAAATACAAAAATACAAATCTGGCTATTTATCTCCTTTTAGAGTAGAGTTATTCAAATACCTTAAGGGGATTTGTAACAGAAATATTCTT